CCTCCTCTGGGTCAGATAAGGGAAGTGCTGGTTCTGGGGGTAGACATGACATGTAGGGTGGGGGAGGCAGGAATTGGATTTGATCTGTTCAATAAGTGCAAAAAAAACCCCAAAAACCTGCAGATGTGGTTAGAAATTCAGAGCTGCCCCGAGTCCTCTCCACACTTCCTGTGTTATCTCACAGAGCCCCCCCAGTCCTTCCCTCGGACTACAGAATGATCAGCCCTCATGTTGTATCACTCCGAGAGTGGGTAGTTGTTGAGCGCACATCACCGAGGTGGAACATATCGGCCACGCGGGGAGTGCGTTGTTTTCAGTAAGTCAGCTGACCCGCAGAACTAGAGCTGCAGCTAACGATTATTTTCAAAATCGATTAGTTAGCCGATTATTAAGTTCGATTAATCGGATAAAAAATAAAATACATTTTTAAAAATGGCTCCAGTGATGGGACTACTAGTTTGTATTGAGTGTAGTCCATCACAGGAGCGAGCTTGGAGCGGTGGACGTAAAAAAGAAAACAAAAAAGTGTGGTGTACAATATAGTGAAAAGGAAAGTGTAAAGTTATACAGCAATGAATGCAGAATGGCACCGGCTATAGAGGACTACAAATCCCAGCAATACATTATAGAGCGCCATGTGGGGGGAGGGAAGTGCAGGCTTACCTGTCTATCGGCGGCTGTCATCCGCCCACACCTGCTCCTCCTTACTACTTCTCCCCACGTCCCTGTGCCTATCGTGGATGTGGGCGGGCGGTGAATGTGAGGTGGGGAGGAGGTGCGGCGTAAAGAGCGTGGATGCGGGCGGGTCTGGCAGCGGCGAGCGTGAGGTGGGGAGGAGGTGCGGCGCGCAGCGTGTGTGGAGCTGTGAACAGGGCCAACTGATCGGAAGCCGATTAATCGATTATTGAAAAAGTTGACAACTTTTTCAATAATCGATTATAATCGATTATGTCGATTAGTTGTTGCAGCCCTACACAGAACTGCACTGACGGAAGGAGCAGTAAAGCACGACCATTGTGTAGCGCTGCAAAGCAGGAAGTAGAACCTGCATACGTAATACAATGCCCCTCCCCCCACCACATGTACATATAGAATGACAGAAGATACACAGAAACACGGGGAATTAAGTGGTTTTACGTTCAGAGGATTATTCTCTCCTACAAGCATGGAACATGGAAAGGACGAGGAGACGAGACTTTCCCTTTATAGAAGTTCATTTGTTTATAGCATTTCTTGTACATGATCCAGTACTCGCATGTCATGATAACAAAGAGGTCCTGTCATAGAGCAACACAACTACAGGGAGGTGCTTCTGTCCTGGTTCCCTCAAAGACAAGTACAGAGCATCAGGGGATAAGACTGAGGGATGAAGGTGAGGGATGAAGATGAGGATTTTTAGATGAAGCCGAGGAATGAGGGTTAGGGATGAAGCTGAGGAATGAAGCTGAGGGTTGGGGATGAAGCTGAGGAATGAAGGTGAGGGTTAGGGATGAAGCTGAGGAATGAAGATGAGGATTGGGGATGAAGATGAGGAATGAGGGTTAGGGATGAAGCTGAGGAATGAAGCTGAGGGTTGGGGATGAAGCTGAGGAATGAAGATGAGGATTGGGGATGAAGATGAGGAATGAAGATGAGGATTGGGGATGAAGCTGAGGAATGAAGCTGAGGGTTGGGGATGAAGCTGAGGAATGAAGCTGAGGGTTGGGGATGAAGCTGAGGAATGAAGCTGAGGGTTGGGGATGAAGCTGAGGAATGAAGCTGAGGGTTGGGGATGAAGCTGAGGAATGAAGCTGAGGGTTGGGGATGAAGCTGAGGAATGAAGCTGAGGGTTGGGGATGAAGCTGAGGAATGAAGCTGAGGGTTGGGGATGAAGCTGAGGAATGAAGCTGAGGGTTGGGGATGAAGCTGAGGAATGAAGCTGAGGGTTGGGGATGAAGCTGAGGAATGAAGCTGAGGGTTGGGGATGAAGATGAGGAATGAAGCGGAGGATTGGGGATGAAGATGAGGAATGAAGCTGAGGGTTGGGGATGAAGCTGAGGAATGAAGCGGAGGATTGGGGATGAGGGTGTTGGGATTATCTTTCAGGTAATTAGTGTTCCCTATGGAAGGTGATGATCCTCACACATTATGTGTCAGTGAATGGAACACAGACAATGGGCTGTTTATGGCACCTGAAAATGTATGAGCTGGAATATTCTGTGCCAACACTACCGCACCAGAGTCACACCGGCACCAGAGTCACACCGGCACCAGAGTCACACCGGCACCAGAGTCACACCGGCACCAGAGTCACACCGGCACCAGAGTCACTCCCGCACCAGAGTCACACCGGCACCAGAGTCACACCGGCACCAGAGTCACACCGGCACCAGAGTCACACCGGCACCAGAGTCACACCGGCACCAGGGACACTCCCACACCAGAGTCACACCGGCACCAGGGACACTCCCACACCAGAGACGCCCGCACCAGGGACACTTCCACGCCAGAGTCACACCGGCACCAGGGACACTTCCACACCAGAGTCACACCGGCACCAGGGACACTTCCACACCAGAGTCACACCGGCACCAGGGACACTCCCACACCAGAGTCACACCGGCACCAGGGACACTCCCACACCAGAGTCACACCGGCACCAGGGACACTCCCACACCAGAGTCAAACCGGCACCAGGGACACCCCCACACCAGACAACCTAGCCGACCGCACCATAGACACCGGCACCAGAGACCAGGTTTCAGACGCTGCAACACCACATGACAGGCCCGGTGACCAATTCATGGCACACTAGTGACAGGTGAGCTGTGCACGGGCCGCTGCTCTCCCGATTCCCTGTAAAGAACATTGGCCAGCGTGCAGGAAAATCTGCTACAACCAGCGGTCAGCTCCTCCTGCAATCAAACCCGCCGCTGCAACAAATCAAGAGCACCCGTCCGTCTCCTCGGACGCTGCCGCACACAGGTCTGTCCGTCCACAGCCGTCCTTCCTATAGAGACGCTCGCTGTAGTGTAGCACAGAAAAAAGTGAAATGATCGGCATTTTTCGCCTTAACATAAAATCTGCGGCTAAATAAGAGCGCAGCGAGGCGATATCTCAGATAATGTTCCGTAGAGCCGATCGCTTTCCATAGATTGCACAGTCTGTACATTGAGGTAATGGAGCAATAATCGCGGGATGGAGGGAGCGCCCCCTTGTGGACAGGACAAGTCAGTGCAATGAACGCAAATGCATAGATAAGATCCCAGTTCCGGGACCGAGGGCCAGGTGACGTTCCACCGACATGGCGCCCCGATCGCCGGCCCGGCGTGAGACGTGAAGAGCGCTGATTTCTGCGTCATTTACAAGAATTGTAGAACCCATATTGGGGAGTGAATCAGCACTGAGGGAAATTCAGCCAATCAGCCGGCGAATAACTTGTGACATCACGGCGACAGGAAGTGCGCAATGCCACCCCGGCACTGCGATGTCACGGGCTCCTTGTCAACTTGCACCAGAGTCACTCCCGCACCAGAGTCACACCGGCACCAGAGTCACACCGGCACCAGAGTCACACCGGCACCAGAGTCACACCGGCACCAGAGTCACACCGGCACCAGGGACACTCCCACACCAGAGTCACACCGGCACCAGGGACACTCCCACACCAGAGACGCCCGCACCAGGGACACTTCCACACCAGAGTCACACCGGCACCAGGGACACTTCCACACCAGAGTCACACCGGCACCAGGGACACTTCCACACCAGAGTCACACCGGCACCAGGGACACTTCCACACCAGAGTCACACCGGCACCAGGGACACTCCCACACCAGAGTCACACCGGCACCAGGGACACTCCCACACCAGAGTCACACCGGCACCAGGGACACTCCCACACCAGAGTCAAACCGGCACCAGGGACACTCCCACACCAGACAACCTAGCCGACCGCACCATAGACACCGGCACCAGAGACCAGGTTTCAGACGCTGCAACACCACATGACAGGCCCGGTGACCAATTCATGGCACACTAGTGACAGGTGAGCTGTGCACGGGCCGCTGCTCTCCCGATTCCCTGTAAAGAACATTGGCCAGCGTGCAGGAAAATCTGCTACAACCAGCGGTCAGCTCCTCCTGCAATCAAACCCGCCGCTGCAACAAATCAAGAGCACCCGTCCGTCTCCTCGGACGCTGCCGCACACAGGTCTGTCCGTCCACAGCCGTCCTTCCTATAGAGACGCTCGCTGTAGTGTAGCACAGAAAAAAGTGAAATGATCGGCATTTTTCGCCTTAACATAAAATCTGCGGCTAAATAAGAGCGCAGCGAGGCGATATCTCAGATAATGTTCCGTAGAGCCGATCGCTTTCCATAGATTGCACAGTCTGTACATTGAGGTAATGGAGCAATAATCGCGGGATGGAGGGAGCGCCCCCTTGTGGACAGGACAAGTCAGTGCAATGAACGCAAATGCATAGATAAGATCCCAGTTCCGGGACCGAGGGCCAGGTGACGTTCCACCGACATGGCGCCCCGATCGCCGGCCCGGCGTGAGACGTGAAGAGCGCTGATTTCTGCGTCATTTACAAGAATTGTAGAACCCATATTGGGGAGTGAATCAGCACTGAGGGAAATTCAGCCAATCAGCCGGCGAATAACTTGTGACATCACGGCGACAGGAAGTGCGCAATGCCACCCCGGCACTGCGATGTCACGGGCTCCTTGTCAACTGACAGGCTTAAGTGTGTCCCCACCCGCCGGATCTCCTCCGCCTAGACGCGGCGTGACAACCCGAAGCAGGTAAGTGACGGGAGAAGTTGGGGTGTCGCTGAAGACGCCATTTTCAAATACTGGGAGTTCGGGTTTTTTTTCTCTGCTGGCCGTAACAGGTTCTCCTTCCTCAGTGGCAATTCTGACAACGTGGGTCGCATTTTCTTCCGTTCATATTACACTGGCACCCCCCTGAGGTGTCGCCCGGGCCCTGTGCAAACAGAAAATGGGGGTGTTAGTCTACCGATACACATCGTCATTGAAGGAAAATCTGGTGTGACATCATCAAACCCAACACATCACATAGGGGGGCATTTCTCAAAACTGGAGCAGTTGCCCATGGCAACCAATCAGCATCTCTCTTCAGTTTGCTCAGGTAAGATTTGAAAATGAGACAGAGAAGCTGATTGGTTGCCGTGCACAGCTGCTCCAGATTTTGATAAATTCCCTCCTAGAATTGTGTATACAACTTTGGAAATAACCATTTAATAGGTTCATGTCACTCACTTTGTAACGCACACTGCGTCTTTGTAATAAGGAAGCCCAGCTTGGCTTGCATGCTTGCTGGCAGCCTATGTAGAACTGACTCAGCCAGGTGGTCTCTTCTAGCAGGGAGGGAGGGAGGAAGGGACAGAGGGAGGGAGGCAGGGAGGGAGAGAGAGAGGGAGGGAGACAGGGAGGGAGAGCGGGAGAGAGGGAGGGAGGAAGGGACAGAGGGAGGGAGGCAGGGAGGGAGAGAGAGAGGGAGGGAGACAGGGAGGGAGAGCGGGAGAGAGGGAGGGAGGAAGGGACAGAGGGAGGGAGGCAGGGAGGGAGAGAGAGAGGGAGGGAGAGAGGGAGGGAGAGCGGGAGGGAGAGAGGGAGGGAGAGCGGGAGGGAGAGAGGGAGGGAGAGCGGGAGGGAGAGAGGGAGGGAGAGCGGGAGGGAGAGAGGGAGGGAGAGCGGGAGGGAGAGAGGGAGGGAGAGCGGGAGGGAGAGAGGGAGGGAGAGCGGGAGGGAGAGAGGGAGGGAGAGCGGGAGGGAGAGAGGGAGGGAGAGCGGGAGGGAGAGAGGGAGGGAGAGCGGGAGGGAGAGAGGGAGGGAGAGCGGGAGGGAGAGAGGGAGGGAGAGCGGGAGGGAGAGAGGGAGGGAGAGCGGGAGGGAGAGAGGGAGGGAGAGCGGGAGGGAGAGAGGGAGGGAGAGCGGGAGGGAGAGAGGGAGGGAGAGCGGGAGGGAGAGAGGGAGGGAGAGCGGGAGGGAGAGAGGGAGGGAGAGCGGGAGGGAGAGAGGGAGGGAGAGCGGGAGGGAGAGAGGGAGGGAGAGCGGGAGGGAGAGAGGGAGGGAGAGCGGGAGGGAGAGAGGGAGGGAGAGCGGGAGGGAGAGAGGGAGGGAGAGCGGGAGGGAGAGAGGGAGGGAGAGCGGGAGGGAGAGAGGGAGGGAGAGCGGGAGGGAGAGAGGGAGGGAGAGCGGGAGGGAGAGAGGGAGGGAGAGCGGGAGGGAGAGAGGGAGGGAGAGCGGGAGGGAGAGAGGGAGGGAGAGCGGGAGGGAGAGAGGGAGGGAGAGCGGGAGGGAGAGAGGGAGGGAGAGCGGGAGGGAGAGAGGGAGGGAGAGCGGGAGGGAGAGAGGGAGGGAGAGCGGGAGGGAGAGAGGGAGGGAGAGCGGGAGGGAGAGAGGGAGGGAGAGCGGGAGGGAGAGAGGGAGGGAGAGCGGGAGGGAGAGAGGGAGGGAGAGCGGGAGGGAGAGAGGGAGGGAGAGCGGGAGGGAGAGAGGGAGGGAGAGCGGGAGGGAGAGAGGGAGGGAGAGCGGGAGGGAGAGAGGGAGGGAGAGCGGGAGGGAGAGAGGGAGGGAGAGCGGGAGGGAGAGAGGGAGGGAGAGCGGGAGGGAGAGAGGGAGGGAGAGCGGGAGGGAGAGAGGGAGGGAGAGCGGGAGGGAGAGAGGGAGGGAGAGCGGGAGGGAGAGAGGGAGGGAGAGCGGGAGGGAGAGAGGGAGGGAGAGCGGGAGGGAGAGAGGGAGGGAGAGCGGGAGGGAGAGAGGGAGGGAGAGCGGGAGGGAGAGAGGGAGGGAGAGCGGGAGGGAGAGAGGGAGGGAGAGCGGGAGGGAGAGAGGGAGGGAGAGCGGGAGGGAGAGAGGGAGGGAGAGCGGGAGGGAGAGAGGGAGGGAGGCAGGGAGGGAGAGAGAGAGGGAGGGAGAGAGGCAGAGAGGGAGGGAGGGGTGGTGTGTACCTCCTCTGAATATTTCAGGTCTATTTTTAGCACAACAGCTGAAGAAGGAGCCTTCAAAGAGAGCGGAGCTCCCCCTGCTGCCTGCAGATAGTATATATTCTCATGTAATATTAATCTGGAAGGTGGAGAGAATAATGAGAAGCCAACATGACATATTAGAAGGATAAATTGTATCTGTGAAGGCCGTCGCTTACCTCTCCCGATATACTGACCTTCTGCTGAGACTGACAACAGTGCCCTGTGTATGAGGCTTACCCTGCACTCTCGGCAGGTGTTCTGGGGGGATGCCAAGCTCATGGCCAGCTGTGCTTTTTGGGGCCTTGAGATTCAAGATGGGGTGAATGCTCCTTTGGGTTTTGGGACTGTGAACAGTTGGAGTGAAACCCCTAAAACCTCCCTGCAGCAGGGACTAGGGCTGTGGCCCCCTTGGTTTGGAACAGCCTTTCTCAACCAGGGTGCCTCGAAGTTTCCGCACAGCGCCATGCTTATCCATTGTGCAGACTGGCTTTCTAATATGAAGAGGGGACTATGAAGTAAAAGGGGGGCACCTAGTGTCAGAGGGGGACTCCTAGTGTCAGAGGGGGACTCCTAGTGTCAGAGGGGGACTCCTAGTGTCAGAGGGGGACTCCTAGTGTCAGAGGGGGACTCCTAGTGTTAGAGGGGTCTCCTAGTGCCACATTTCTTTGTGTGGGGTCCCTCTTTAAAATCCATACCAGATCACTATCCAGGACAAGGGTCTGGTATGAATTTTGGAGGGGGCCACACATTTCTTTTTACATTTCGGACTGGGGTGCCTCGAGACTTGAGAACCTGGTCTAAAGGTTCGGGGAGAGCCTGGTGAAGATCGACAAGACCCTGAGGGGACACAAGAAGGTCTGATGGAAAATGGGGGCACACCAAGGACGCGGTGATGGTGATTACGGGGGCTTTGGAATGCCTGCGGGTGGAGGTGCTGCCAAGACTGGGGGGCTCTAACAATAACTCTATATCTCACCAGGTACTATGGCCATGAATACAAAACCCCTGCGATGAGATAGACCACTAATTTGGGGGTACAGGCAGTGGCCATGTATGGGGCCCCGGTCCAGAGAAGGTTGCCTTGCTGCGCAGACACTAGTACAGTCAGTCTTAAAGGTTCTGTGCTTGTGGACCGCAGACCAGGGGGGGGAATTGCCCACTTGATGGTCGATGATCCCCAATGGACGTCAACACCCGCACACACAAGCACCCACAGTCACAGGCAGCATGGGAAAGAGGGGGGGGGGCGTATGGGGCCCCATTTTTTTCTAACGGTGACCCTGGAGATAAGAACTAGCTTCAAGCATGGCCACATTATGACAGGTGCTCTTTAACGCACTCTGCACAAGGCTCGCAAGGCGTCTCCCCACCTCTCTCATTACTATGTGCCCACAACACTCCACCCCCGACCCAGCGCCATCTCACCTGTGGCCCCCAGCGAGGGCCCTTGGTCACCCAGCAGATCTCGGTCTGGCACATGGTGCAGCGGATCCAGTCGCAGCCGTCCTTCTTCTGGACGATGATCTGGCAGGCCGGGCAGTACATGGCTTCCCCGGTCTGGACGAGCGTCTGCGGAGAGAGAGGAGGACGGAAGCATCACTACTATCCCTTCCGGCTATTC